TTCCCCAATTCGGCTGCTGATCAGTTTTAGCAAGCGGCTGAATTGGGGAAGCCGGGGGCAGAGCAGCTCCAATGGTCCGGCTGCCCAGAGCACTTCCGGGTTCCTGATGGTGCCGGACCGTCAGATGCCGGACCATCGGAGTTTTTACTGTATAAGGAAAAGTAATTACCCATAAAAGCCTGGATCACAGTTGTGATATTACTTTGACTAGCATTTAATTTGGAAATTATAACAGAACTAGACACAAAACTGACAGTTAAATACAGAATCCTGCATACAAAGAAACTTCTTGGAACCAACTGAAGTATATTGGAAAATAGTTGCTAAATCATTCAATAAAGTTCTCAAGTTGCCATGGTTACTTGGGAATGTTGCATTTTATTATGTTAAGATGACTAGGATGAAGAAGCCAAAATAAGCAGGAAATATAGTACACAAGGACTAAAAATCTCCAAATCACTCAGCATCGTCTGATAGACAAATAGCTTACAGTATCAGCTCCTTGCTGACAAGCCTATGAATGAATGGAGAAAAGATGACTCAAGATATTTAGAACATGTGTGATTTTTTCTTAAATGTATTTTTAAATTAAAATTTGCTTTGTTTTTAAAAGAAAATAAACTCTAAAAAATTAGAGTGGAAAGATTTTTATAAGCTAATTCTGAGATTGAAACCTATTGTTTACTTTTGAGACCTTTAACAAAGAAGGTTGATGGAAACACAGATAGTGCATTTCATGTACTTAGGCTAGCAGTAGCACTTATACAGGAAGCAGTTCATCCCCATGGAAACCTATTTGCATTTGGGACATTTGTACTGTTTTTTTTCTAGAGTAGCTGATGTTTTAGCATAATAAAATTGCCATATATTGACAGCAGATTTCAAAAGTATTTTTAAAATGTCGAGTAGTTGAACATATGTACATTGGAGATGTAAACTATTCAGTTAAGCTTAATTTCAGGTGTAGGATGAAGAATTCTAACTGATGAATTATAAGGCCTTCCATTATCTAACACAAGGTGAAGTAACAGTTCCTTTAAATTGATTTAATAAAATACATTTCCCTTACACTTTTTTTAAACAGGTGACAAGAGAACTGAAACAGTATGACAATAAAATTATAGAGTGCAAATTTGAGAACAACAGCTGGGTCTTCATGAGGCAGAGAATAGACAAAAGCTTTCCAAATGCTTACAACACTGCCCTAGGTGAGTAGAATAATTTACTTTTGCTCACACCTTTCATATTTACCATTTCAGTAAAATTGGTTAAATGAACTTAATTTCCTCTGCCTTAATGTCTAATTTAATGAGGAAAGATGGTCTGTATTCTCAATATTTAGTTTAGCGGTTTTTGTCTTTTCAGTATAACATTAAGTCCTCCCATTTGTTATGTGCCATCTGGCTCAGGCTAAGGAGCTGTTAAATTGCAGTATAAATGTTTGAACTCCATCTAGATCAGTGGTCACTAACCAGTAGATCTTGGAGATTTTGACAGGTGATCCTAACAGGTTTTACCAGGAAGCTATCGTGTGCCAGCACTTCAGCTGTCCCTCCCCTCACAGTTGAGCATCTTCTACCCTTTGCCTTGGAGCTGTCCCCATCTGCTCAGGAGCCTCATGCTTGCTGGGCAGAGCAAGGGAATGACAGGAAGGGTGCTGATGTCAAGGTGCCCCCTCGCCCATTCTGTATCATATCTCCACAGAGCAGAGAGGGCGCACAATAGTTGAGCATCTTCTACCCTTTGCCTTGGAGCTGTCCCCATCTGCTCAGGAGCCTCATGCTTGCTGGGCAGAGCAAGGGAATGACAGGAAGGGTGCTGATGTCAAGGTGCCCCCTCGCCCATTCTGTATCATATCTCCACAGAGCAGAGAGGGCGCACAATAGGACTTGGGATGGAGATTGATTTCAGGAGTGGTTTAGGACCAGGACAGGGGTGAGCCTTCTTTAACCCCACTGCACCACCAATCAGGAGCCACCAGAAGTAAGCAGTTCCCCTGTGGAGCCCACATCCTGAACTCCTACCCTAGTCATGAAAACCTTCCTGCACTCCAACCCATTGCCCTAGCCCAGACCAGACACCCTCCCAAAGCCTGCACTAAGAAACCCCTCCTGCAACTGCCCCAAACTCAGCTCAGAGCCCCTCTCTCACTCCAAATCCCTTAATCCAAGATCAGAGCCTGCATCCCAACCCTCTGTCTCAGCTTGGTGAAAATGAGTGAGGATAGAGTGAGCAGGAGTTGGGGCCTCAGATAAGGGGCAGAAAGGAGGTGGAGCAAGAATAGTTGGGTTTGAGGTAGATCTCGGATGGCAATTAAATTGAAAAAATTGATCTCATGCTTTAAAAGGTTAGAGACCATTGGTCTAGATCCTGTCTTTAGAATCTCACAAGGTGGGAGGATCCCAGAGCTCAGCCTCCAACCCAAGCCCAAAAATTTATACTGGAGGTAAACAGCCCCCTATCTCAACCCTCACAAGATTAAGGTAGTTGCCTTTTAACTGTAGTGTAGACATACCGGTTACTTTACACATGACAGATGAAATCATGGCCTCTGTGTAGTAACTGTATATGAGTTCTTCACAGATTTGGGTTATTATTTAGCCTGCCTTTAAGTGAGGCCTATAAAAATATAGTTGTCTTAGCTCTACAACACAGCTAACTAACAAACACTATTCCCAGTAGTACGTTGACTTGTGCTGATGCACCAAGAAAAATACTTTGGCACATCAACATGCTACATAAGTTGAATTTGATGAATAAAAAAAACCATGGTAATTTCAGCTCTATTCAAGACAATTGTTTGCCAGATGGAAGACAGAATTAGTAGGAGAAAATGTAATTTCAAGCTCCTAAAATAGTATTACAAACAATAGAGAGTAAAGCAAATGAAAGCTATGAAAAAAAATTTGTCTTTAAGGATTATGACGCCTTCAGATTCTCCTATAGACAATAAAAAAGAATGCGAAAGAATAATTTTCTTTCAGGTGGAATGAATGAGTTTAAATTAAAAAGATATGTTTGAATAATATGAGTAACAGTTCTCATACTGAACTGACTTTTTTGGTGGTATCATAAACTATTAAACAGAACTACAAAGCTGACAAAGTGTATGTATATTGATAGTTTTCCTTTAAAATTATTCTACCCATGTACATATCTGATGATCTAGTGAATTTTAATTGTTTGGATGAATAAATTGAGGTTAGCCATTTGATCACGTGGCAACAGGACTGCTACATTGCTGGTGCCTTTGGAGGAGGTACCTCAGAATGCAAGCATCTCCATCACCTCAGCAGCTTTGGGTATGTCTAGACTACATGCCTCTGCTGAAAAAGGCATGTAAAATAGGCTACCCAACATAGTCAGTGAAGCGGGGATTTAAATATCCCCGGCTTCATTAAAATAAAAATGGCCGCCATGCTGTGCCAGCTCAGCTGATCATTGGCACAGCACGCAAGTCAAGACGCGAATCGGTCGACAGGGGAAGCCTTTGTTGACCACTCCCTTATGCCTCGTGAAACACCAGCATTTCCTCTTAGTTGTTTAAGCAAGTTTTTTTTTTCCTTTGGCCTGCCCTCTCCTTTCCCCTACTTCCAAGCAACAGCAACTTTTCCTCTTCCCCCAGCCCTCTTCTTACCCTCACCCCTACTGCTAGAGCTAGCTTAACTTTTTTTTACAAAGGGGGTGGGTGAGTGTAGGGCGGTATGTGAAAGAGAGAGATCTTTGTAAAAAATGTCATCTATATATATACAGTAAAACTCCAGTGGTCCAGCACTCCTGATGGTCCGGCGTCATCTGGAACCCAGAAGTGCTCTGGGCAGCCAGACAATTGGAGCTGCTCTGTCCCCGGCTTCCCCGATTCAGCCGCTGCTGAAACTGACCAGCGGCTTACTTGGGAAAGCCGGGGCCAGAGCAGCTGGGGTGCTGCCGGGTTGGTCCCCTAGCACTGCCCCTCGGCGCTGCGGGACCAACCCGGCAGCACCCCAGCTGCTCTATTGCAGGCATTCCCCATTCCGCTGCGGGTGACACAGCCCAGCACGGC